GTTAGAGAGTTCACATTTCCCATGATCACTGAAGGTACCGAAGGTTTATATCGCCATTTCTTCACCAGGCGCTTAGCCGCTAGCTTTGCGCCAGCTCTGTATCCGCGATACTATTACTCAGTATTAATAGAAAGAAATAGGAACAATCCTAGGTTTCGTTTTAGCACTGTAGCCAGGCTGACAGAGAGTCGCAGCTCTATTACTATTGCTTGATACGATGGCGACGTCAATGGCAAACATGGTCGGGGTAGCTCCGGCTTTTAAACGTTCTCGATCAAAACCAGAGATATACAAGACGATTGATGGCAGGACAATTGTGGAGGATGAACTACTTAATTTCCTAGCTGTCAAGATTAAGACTCTAAGCCAGGATGAGATTGTGTTATTGGCAACTAAGACGTTTGACTCTGAGGCGATTGAAGCCTTCAAGAAAGTTTTGTTTGAGCTCTGTCCCGCTACTACGCAGCGGTGCGTTGGTCATAAAGGACAGTACAAAGATTGAAACAATATAAAACTCTGCCTTAAAGTACTGAATGAATGTGGGGAGAACATCCCTAGATTTGTCTCCCATTACCTGGATGAACTGCCACCAGTGACATACTCCAGCTTGGATGTCTCCTGTTTGCTACGGAGAATGGAGCAGCTGTGCGCTGAGGTGGGTGCTTTGAAACACATAACTCAGCTCCAGAAGGGCGTACGTGAGCAAGTTCGGGCCGGAGCTGAGGAAATCAACCGCTGAGTGACTGCACTGGAGTGCCGGTTTGATGCGCCGGCCGGGGATGCTTCCTTGTGCACTCCGGGGGCCGGGAGCTAATGATTGCCTTGCACGGGATAACCACCTGGCGGGGCAGGGAGAGCGAGGAGGGGCTGCACCCTGCGGCCTGGTCATGCATGGAGCTGCTGGCTTGGGATCTACGCTGAACCTGAGCACAGGGGTGAGTCGTGATGAGACGGTGGTGACAACTGTTGGCCTCAACGGTGCTGCAACGGTGTGCCTGTCATGGGCAGCCCACTCTGACATCTCTCCACTTAGTGCATGTAAAGGTCCAGTTTGTGCGTGTGTGTTCGGACCTGTGTGTAATTGACAAACAGAGTGAAAAATTGAATTTCCCCTCGGGGATTAATAAAGTATAGAAATAAATAATAAATAAATAAATAAAGAAAGAAATGTACACTCCTGTGGCCTGAGGGGGCCCTGGTTTGGCGTTATTATGAACCACGCAAGGCCAGTGCTGTTGGGTCAAATACTGTGCCTCCATTAGGAGAGGTAGCTGTGCCCATCGGTATCCACTCAATACTATGAGTATGTCCATTCGGGTTCTGTCTTACAACTGTCGTGGCCTGCATTTGGGGCTGAATGCAGGGGATAAAGCTCGCCGCATTGTTAGTTACAGTTTGCTAGACGAATGTGACATTGTATGCCTGCAAGAGACATTTTTATCTGTCCAAGAATTGGAAAAACTGAACAGACTGGCTTTTATCAATGCTTTTATACAAGATAACAATACATCCAGCGTATATGTTATTGGGGATATGAATGCAGATATTGCAGATAGTAACTCTGTATTTGCTAACCACTTGACCCACTTCTGTGAGGATAACAATTTTGTTTTGTCAAGCAAACTGCTACTGCCCATAGACAGTTACACATACATAAGTGAGGCCTGGCACACCACATCATGGCTTGACCATTGTATTAGTACAGCTGATGGGCATGTGGCTTTAGGGAATATGAGCATTAAGTACAGGGTGGCAGTGACAGACCATATACCCCTTGCATTCACCGTAAATGTTGATGATATTCTGACAACAGTCAGTAATGAAAGTGCTTTCAATAAAGATTTCACTGCAAAATTGGACTGGTCATCTCTCACCAAAGAGAACTTGTTGGCCTATTATAACAACACAGACAAACATCTAAGTAATATCCATTTGCCTAAAGAAGCTATTTTGTGTAAGGATGCCAATTGTAAGAGGGTTGAGCATAAGAGAGACCTCTGTTCCTTGTATGATGATGTAGTGACGGCCCTGTATGATGGTGGTAAACCTTTTTATAAACATGATACACATAACAAGAAATCTAACTTTAGACCTGGCTGGAATGAGCATGTAGCTATGTATCATACTGAGGCTTGTGAAGCCTATAAACTCTGGGTCATGGCTGGAAAACCTAGGCAAGGCCCTGTGCTTGAGAGTATAAAGCTTGCCACTGCCAGATTTAGGGATGCTGTTCGTTTTATATCCAAAAATGAGCAAGTTATGAGGGCTGATTCTATGGCCAACAAAATGATGTGTAACAATGTCACTGATTTTTGGAAAGAGGTGAGAGCTCATAACAATTGCAAACCATCCCTCCCATGTAATGTTGAAGGCAGTTCTGGTACAGAGAATATTGCAGCATTATGGAGACAGCAGTACAGCTCATTGTTTAACTGCATAAAAAGTGATCCATATGTGGTTGACTCTGATATGAATGTGGAAACAATAAGTATAAGCACTCATGAGGTATATGATGCCATGCATAAACTGCCTAACAATAAAGCATGTAGTTTGGACCTAATATCAGCTGAACTTCAAAAATGCTAGTTTGAGGCTAGCTCCTCTCCTAGCTGTCAGCCTTACTGGTTTTATGATCCATGGCGTACTACCGGATTCAATGTTATCTATCTTGCTTGTCCCAGTGCTTAAGGACAAAGCTGGTAGAGTAAGTTCCCTGGATAATTATAGGCCTATAGCGCTAGCTAGCACATTGCCAAAAGTCGTGGAAAGAATCCTGCTTGATAGAGTAAGTGTGTATCTTTCTTCCTGTGATAATCAGTTTGGTTTTAAACCAAAGCATGGGACCGACATGTGTATATATGCACTTAAGGAAATAGTGAACCTGTACAGGGCCAAAAATTCATCTGTCCTTATGTGCTTTATCGATGCTTCCAAACCATTTGATCGAGTAAACCACAGGAAACTATTTATGAAACTAACACAAAGGGGCATGCCTGGGTATATTGTGAGGGTTCTGGTCTACTGGTACGCTCACCAGAGGATGCAGATTAAATGGGGAGGCAGTATATCAGCCCCCTTTGGAGTTGGCAATGGCGTTAGGCAGGGAGGAATCTTGTCCCCAATTTTATTTAACTTATATGTTGATGAATTGTCCATGCAATTGAGAGCCTGTAACACTGGGTGTATGATTGGTGAAATGCTGGTGAACCATCTTATGTATGCAGATGATCTTGTCATTCTTAGCCCAAGTAGTGCTGGACTACAGCAACTCCTTAATATCTGCACTGAGTATGGAGTAAAACATGATATTAAATATAATGCTAGCAAGAGTGCTGTTTTAATATGTAGAACCAAGCAGGATAATAAGCTAAATTTTCCTGCGTTCAAACTGTCTGGCAATAATCTTGAGGTCTGTAGAAGGATTAAATACCTTGGACATTTTATAACTGATCAACTGAATGATGATGATGATGTATATAGACAATGCTGTAAATTATACGCCCAGGCAAACACCATTGCATGGAAGTTCAGCTTCTGTTCACAACAGGTGAAGATGGCCCTGTTCAAAGCACACCGCTTTACACCGCCCATTTGTGGTCAAGCTACAAAAAATCTAACATGCAGAGGCTGCAAGTTGCATACAATGATGTTATGCGCATTCTTTTAAAAATACCCAGAGGGGGGATTGCCAGCCAAGTGTTTGTCACTGCAGGAGTGAGCACATTCAATGCACTTTTAAGAAACAAAATGTTTAAATTTATGCAACGACTGGAGGAATCTGGGAATGGTACAATGGTAACAAATTACACTTTTATTTGTAACTTGTAATATTGTTTACAAGTATTGGAAAACATCTCAGGTCATACAGCTGTATCTATGGTCCCTTAGATTAAAAGCAGATTGGTACAAGTTGAGGGCAGGAGGTTATGGGGTGCTCTAACTCTAAATGCTAAATCTAAATCTAAATCTAAATGTTAAATCTAAATGCTAATTGTTAAATCTAAATGTTCTGGGTGAAACTAAATATTTAGCTAATATGCAAATTCACACTGGTCAGACTGTGTTTATAGAATCAAATAACGATTTAAAACCAACTTATCGGGAGAAATGAACACTTGAACATACATTAGCATGATAATAACCACCTAAAATAACAAAAAACATGTTTGGAGAAAATTTTTTTTGTACTTTGAGTTGTTAGTGTCCCTTCGGAGGGAATCGCCTTGTTGTTAACAAATACTTCCAGGTAGAAAACCAGCAGACTTTAGCTATATATATATATGAATATCTCACATTTTTCACGTCACTATATCACCGTTTAAACTAATCTGATGTTGGTAAAGTCTATAAACACAATGACTGAACAAACATTACTATTTATGTGTGCACGTTTTGTAAATAATAACATGGTTATCATAGATTAGCTGGGCTAAACTGTTAGCTGTTAGCCCCGTTAGCGGTGTCTATAATGACTCATTTACTCTAAACGGTCCGTGAAAAAAATATTTTTTCCAGCAGATGTCTTAGTTTCACCCAGAACATTTAGATTTAACATTTAACATTTAGATTTAGATTTAGCATTTAGATTTAACATTTAGATTAGATTTAATATTTAGATTTAACATTTAGATTTAGATTTAGCATTTAGATTTAGATTTAGATTTAACATTTAACATTTAGCATTTAGCATTTAGATTTAGATTTAGATTTAGCATTTAGAGTTAGAGCACCCCATAACCTCCTGCCCTCAACTAGTACCAATCTGCTTTTAATCTCAGGGGCCATAGATACAGCTGTATGACCTGAGATGTTTTCCAATATTTGTAAACAATATTACAAGTTACAAATAAAAGTGTAATTTGTTATATTTCCACTGTCTCTTAATCAAATAAATTAATTAAATTATTTTCTCTTTGTCCTAATCGGTCAAACTGTGACTTTGAGACAGTAAAACAAAGTGAAATGAGATATTAACTGATGATAACTGTTTCTTTCTTTAGATGAGGGAGAACTGATGAGCAGGATACGTACTTCCATACAAACATTCATACCTATATGTGGTGATCTTCTTCTTCGGATGACCAGGATCCGCAGAGTGCCTCTTGGTGAGGTCAATGTACCAAACGGAGCCCAAGTCTTGATCAGTAACAACCGCCATGCCTTCACACCATCAGCACCTGAGGATATGAGGCTACGGCGTGATATGCTCCTTGATCAGGAATTCCAATATAACCTTTTCACTCTCAACTGTGAGCACTTTGCCACGTTTGTACGCTATGGAAAAGCTGTGTGCAACCAGGTATGAATTTGGCAGTGCAAAAAGTAACATCTTGTAATGTTTCTGATTTTTTCAATCAATCAATATCACACAAGAGGGAGTGCTGTTGTACTAAATATAATCATGGCTGTGACTCGGTTGTAGGCACAAGGCTGCAGGCTGAGTGCTGAAGATAATCACAGCTGTGCTGATATTCAGTATACTAGCACAACTCTGAGTGTGACATTGCTTTTATACAACAGTTATACAGGAGCCATTAATTAACAGTAAAAAGCCACAGCAGGTTATGATTTGTTGTATTTGATTATTGAATAGTTCAGCAAATAGACTAAACTGTTGCCAAGCAACACACTAACACTCCTGCACACTAGCTTGTTACTTTACTAACTTCTGTGTGGGTCTTCACGTTACCACAGACCAGCTACTTTGTCTCATGTAGGCTGTGCGTTTCCATTTATTTTGCGACCAGTGAAATAAGTCTGTTGACAGTGGCTTTGATGGCATACGTGTGATGCAGATGAGTTACCAACTTAAAGGGCCACTGTGTAAAATGGGTTGAAAACCATTGAAAACAGTGACATCAATGGTCAAATTCTAGAATGTAGGGCTCACTCGCTCACCCCTCCCGTCTGGTAAATGACAGTGGCCTCGTAGGGACAAAAAGCCTTGCGCAGACAAGAGTTTTTCAGGAGTAGGTAGCAACGAGGTGAATGTTTATTTAGAAATCTAAACCATGTTACGATATTGTAATGAATCCCTCACGAGCAGGAGACCAGAGTAGCGTTCGGGAAAAAGGCCAGTTTATTTGAGCAATCCAAAAACTCCGGTAACACTCCAGGGGGTAAAAGACTCCGTCCCAAACGCTGACTCTTCTAGCGTAACACACACACTCCATACACACACACTCGTTTACAATACCTAGCGGGCACCCCCTCCCTTCTCTGCTCCACCAATCTCCAGCCCGCACACTGACTGACAGCGTAGCCTGTAAACAGAGCTCAGCTGTTTATTTAGCCTAGCAATATCTCCAGACTATAGTAGCTGCAATGGACGACTTTGAACGCGATTTTGAAGAGTTTCTTGTAGCGGACACAGACCCAGAGCCATACCTGTTTGAGACAGATGAGGAACTTAGATGCTGAGTGGGTGAGAAGAGAGGCTGAATCCTCCGCTCCCATTTTGCTGCACAGAATGGGATTCGGTGCTACCATCGTTGGGGAGATATATCATCAGGAGGAAAAGCGCCGCAGAGAGTGCATCACAAGGAGTGAAGTTGTGTCTTCTTTTCCTCGCAGATGACGGTTCGGGTTCATTCTCTCCTGTTGCGTGCTAAGTGTGGTCCATTCACAAACTTTATAATTAAAAAAACTTTTCACTACTCTCTATCTACGAACTACTAACACTCTCTGCTGTTTCCTCCCCCTTCTTCCTTCCTTCCGCTGTCTTTGTTGGTTTATTTATACACATAAAATGCATTCTCTGGCTGGTTGGATTGTCCGCTCGGTCTGCCGTACATACATGGCGGTGCAAGATGGCGACCTCTCTAAAGCAAGGCCCTTGCTCTATATATATATAAAAGCATAATTATAAGGCTACGAAAACCAAACGAATTTTATTTTATAGCGATTATACACTTATATAAACATATTAATGGGTAGAATATTCAGATTCAGATTCAGATTTGACAATAAACCATGCCAAATATTACACACTGGCCCTTTAATCAGCATGTTGCGTCATCTTCTGATGTTATATGAGCATACCTGGGGTTTGCAGTCAAGTGTCAAGGCTTCTTTTTCTGCCCCTTCATCCTTTACTGATTATTCATCATTTAACTTAAATGTTATTTGTGGTAATATGTTCCTAGTTGCAATGCAAGTTTGTTATGATGACCCTTAATTAAGGCTAACCGTTAACATAATTAACGGCTCAGAACACCTGTTAAAGCATAGTGATACATGGTTAAAAGTTCCAGTGCTGTTATACTGTATATAACCACTCATGGAATTCCTCTTGTCCAATGCTGTATAATGTTAGTTATGATAATGCAATAACTTCCCTGTTTGGACTGAGCAGTAACCTGCATTTTGGCCATACCAGAGGATATTGTCAGTTGTATGCTCAGAGATGTGGTTGTAATAAAAAACCTAAATTAAATCAGTTTACATAACTCTGACCCACAGTTTACCCTCATTTATCCAAAAGGCTTGCATCCATCTTTACAACCTCACAATGTTCAATATATCAAATTGGTTTGTCATATTAGGGGAAAATTTGCTAATTAAGCATTATTATACAAGAGTGTGTGCTCTACTAGGTGTGCTTTTATGGTTTAGCTCACCCTTAAGTGTAATATTGTGATTATACAAAAGTTAACAATAAAATTAAAGATATCATCATAATGTATTCATATCGTGGGGAAATTTGCTATTCGAAATAAAACACTCTTTGTTAGTGTTATCTCTGTTTCCATGGAAATACATGGGGTCTGACTAATAACTTGAAAACCATTTGTCACTTCTGTGACTCATATGTATTGAAACCTTGTTAACTACTCCAGCAAGTAGGCTGAACCTCAAAGACCCAAGCTAACTAGAGCTAACGTTAAGTCTTTATAGAGATTGTGGGATTTCCCAAACTGAATTAATACCAGACACATAAACACAAAATTACCTTGCTAGTTCAATCTTGTTGTAACCAAGATATATGCTGAAAAAAAATTCAATGGACAGATTAAACTACATGTAATTTACCAAGTAGTTAAACTACATTTGACAGTAGCTTGCTGGTAGTTCAGTTACATTCATGCATAGTGATACACACAGACACATACACGTGTGTGGCCTGAAATACATTTTTGATGATCACTAAGAGACTGTTTCTTGTTGTTCTTACTCCTGAAGATTCCTGCAAGACCCAAGAATGTAGAGAATGTGGAGGCAACTGCAGTTTTCCAAGATGCTGTCAATTCCAAAGAGCCTTCTGAAGACCATTGTAAATGAGCCCTCTGACTCTCTAAATATGACCTCTTTGGGAATCAAGCCACTTTAAACATTTGAAATTTGTCTTTCGCCCACGGTATGGTTGAGATTTTTTTTTAGGCTGCAGCTTACAATTGTTGTCATTATTAATAAGTCTGCCAAATATTGCTTGGATTAACTGATACTTGTTTTGTCTATTGTGATGGAAAATTCTGGTATTTGGTATTGCTATGATGTATGATATGTGTTGCTCATTTAACCCCTATTGTGACAGCAGTGAGAGACACCAAGGTTACGAGCCAGGGAAGCTCAGACACTAAGTGTCCTTGTTAGTCTCAAGAGATGTTGTGTCGTAGGAATGTCAAATCAACCTATCTACTGCAGATGCCACATATTTTGACTGTTGATGTGCATGTGTTATGGGAACTATAAAGATAGCAGGGCTAGAGGACTTGCTAGGCACTCACTCACTGACTGACTGTTCATGCGGTTGTATGTGTGTGGGTCTCCATTCATGAATGCTTATTAAAACTCAAGAAAGACAGCCGACATGTGAAGACTTTTTCTTTAAACTGTTTATTAAATAATTGTTTTGCCACCACACTATACTATTACTGACTACAGTCTCCGACAGCCCATGAGGTATTTAGATTTAATTCAACCAACAGGCAAAATCCCAAAGATATTTGGTTTGTCATCATATAACAAAAAAGCAGCAAATGGTCACTCAGACAAGCTGTAACTAGATTATTTCTACCACAAAATTGATGTGGTAGAAAAGACTGAATCATAAATCGTGTGCACCAGTTGTTTAAACCTTTTGCACAATTTGATAAACAAAGCCCTCAGATTGGAAAACTGTGCATGTTTGACCACCTAGATGGCCCTTCTTGCTCTGGATGATCACCACACTGTGTTTTAATACAGCAGAATTCGGGATAAAGTTGTTCTCATTCATCTATTTTTGTTTTTCTGTTGCAAGATAACGAAACAAGAAACAGCTCAGAAATACTAAGCTGTGTTGACCGACAGTAATTACCAAGCTGCTGTGCAGCAGGTAAGGTCTTTATTTCATGATCAAAACAACGGACAAAATAAACAAAAATATTGCAACTAACTGCTATACTGTCAGATTGGCTGCACTGACATTTAAAATTCAGCTAAAGTCACAAAGCATCTGTTACCATTTCAGTGAGTTGAGTGATCGGCAGTGAAGCTGATATGCATTTCATTTAAATGTGAGAACAGATGATTTGTGGCTGTAATTGTATGGGACAGTCTAACTCGCTTCTTACTTTTTTGTGATCACTCATTTTATGAATGCTTGTAATCTCACAGCTGCTATCATTAACCAGTATTAATGTTGTCTTTCAAGGTCGTGACCACAACATATAAACCATATGTTGTGGTCACCTGCAGCTCAGCAGCTTGGTAATTAATGCATGAATGAATAAATGAATGACTTTGGACACATTTGGTCATTAAATGATAACATACATCAATCTGAAAAATGAATAATTAAAAAACTTTGTATATGGGCGTCAAAATTTTGTAATCAAAGAAGCAAGAAAATCAAAAATCTTTTTCATTTTGTTTTCTTTTGTTATTTTGCACTGTGTTGTGCCATTATGTCCACTCACAACCATCAGCTAACCAGTAGGATGCACCTTGCAGGATTCTGTATAAGTGCATAACCCTTGCAGGTCTGTGCATCTGGGCACTTTTTATAGGCTTTAGAAATGCCAAATCACTGCATATTTTCTTGTTTCATCTTGAAATGGGTAAATAAACAATATACCAAAGCCAAACCACAAGTCTTATTTCTGATTTTCTGTTAACTAGTTTTGTACTGTTTCTCCATGCTGCAGTTCAGACTGTGATCAGTCTGACGTGCACAAGCTGCAGGACTGCCCTAATGGGACCACACATATTAAAAGAAAAAGTTTGTCAGGCATATTTTCAATTCACAATTAAGTATTAACAAATAATAGAAGAAAGAAAGAATGTTGGAAAAGTTCATTAGAGGTAATAGCCAGGTTCATCAGTGATGAAAGACCAACCCAACTTCACTGTAGTTAGGCTACTGAACCACTCATCTGTCCCAAATATAGGGGCCAGTAGATGCCTACTAAACCTACTAGTTCAGGGGGCTATCAGGCTATTGTAAAGGCAGTTGTCATCACACATTTTCCTAAATAGGGTGACCAGATGTCCTGAAAAATTCAGGTGAGTCCTGAAAAATAGCCGTTATTCTGAATGTTGTTCATTCCGAAACTTAACTGTTATTGTAATAGATAATACAGACAAGCTACGGCACGAGCTACTGGTATACTGAGACTCCACTTAACTTTAGACTTGACAGCAAAATGCTGATGAGAACTGACACGATGAAGACTTTGTCACTTTTTTTTTTTACTCTTAACAGAATGGTAAGATCACAAATGACCTTTTTGAGTTCAGTCCTCAAACCCTCATGGGAGAAAAGATGAGATAATGTGAGACAACATTTTTGAGACATAGGTAAGACAAATAGATAATAAATTGAGATTACAATGACAGAAATTAAAGTAATAGATGAGATCTCGTATATCTTTTTAAGTTCATTCATGTCTTACTTATTGCTCCTAAAAAGCTATGAGGAGCACTCAGGACAAGTAAGTAAAATTTCTCAAGTTCTTGATATCACTTCAGCCCTAAAGACATGAGGAGAAAAGGGGAAATAACAAAAGTTACGACATTGTAACCCTAGCTCTATTAGCACAGGCGGAGCCCTCTACTGGACTCTTTGGGTAATACTCCTTTAATCAGGAGCATGTATTTGCCCACTGAGAAAATGCATAAATGTGCCTACCTGAATACATGTGGATCCTACAGTACGAAAAGGAGGCAGATTTCTGCTGTCTGCAATGGCTACACCCATAACTTTAATTTTGGAGACAAAAAAATGTAGGCTTATCGCCCTGTGGTCCATTCCCCAATAGGAAATGTAGAATACTCAAAGGTACTTTAAAAGTACTTAAGTTACTTTTCTCAGGGAGTAATGTTGGAAGTACTTTAAAAGTACTTGAGTTACTTTACTCAGGGAGTAACGCAGTAAAGTAACTGGTTACTTTTCAAAAAAGTAACGCAGTAAAGTAATTTGATTACTTTTAAAGTAACCCTTACCCAACTCTGTTTAGAAATTAGATATTTAAAATCTAGGAGAAACACTTATATTTGTTTTCAACCCTATTTAGAACCCCACTTTGCAAATCAGAAGAACTACAATTTGCTAAGTGGGGTAAATAGGGTTGAAAAAAAAATATATCTACTGAATATATCCAATATCTAGTAAAGCTGAACTAGTAATGACACTGCACCTAGATGAACTATGTAAAGAAAAAGTAAAGATGTCGGCTAATTTTCGGTATTTTAGCTAATATGCTAGAAACGGCATTTTTGGGACGGTAGGTTTTTGCGCCTTGTAAAATAGAGTCGTAAAAAGATACATCTACTGAATATATCAAATGACTAGTAAAGCTGAACTAGTAATGACACTGCACCTAGATGAAATATGTTAAGAAAAAGCAAGGATGTTGGTTAATTTCAGATATTTTAGATAGTACTCTAGAAACAGCATTTTTGGGATGGTAGTTTTTTGCGGCTTGTTGTAAAATGATACAACTACTGAATATATCAAATGACTAGTAAAGCTGAACTAGTAATGACACTCCACCTGGATGAAATACGTTAAAGGATAACTTCGGTATTTTTCAACCTGGGCCCTATTTCCCCATGTGTATATGTGCGTCCGTAGGACCCGATTGAAATCGCTCTGTTTATTATTATTAGGCACGAGCGACGACTGTAAGTCATCCGGAGGACCCTATTGAAATCGCGCTGTTTATTATTATCAGGGTCCGAGCGACAACTGCAAGTCGTCTGTAAGACCCTATTGTAATCGTGCTGTTTATTAGGGTTCTAACCCCGAAGGGGTAGAACCCTTCTAAGATTGTACCGATTTATTATTATTATTATTATTATTAGGGTTCTAACCCCGAAGGGGTAGAACCCTTCTAAGATTGTACCGGTTTATTAATATTATTATTATTATT